AGGATAGATGCCAAGGAGTGGTATAGCTACATCTAAGGGAAAATCTATGTTTAGTTTTCGTAGGAATCTCCAGACTGCATTCCAGAGTGGTTGTACTAGTTTACATTCTCACCAGCAATGCAGTAGGGTTCCTTTTCTCCCACACTACCACCAGCATTTGTTATTGTTAGAATTCAAAATGTTGGGCAATCTAACTGGGGTAAAACGATATCTCAGAGTTGTTTTGATTTGCATTTCCTTTATAGCCAGGGATGATGAACATTTTCTCATGTGTTTCTTTGCTAATCTTAGACCTCTTCTTCTGAGAAGTCTCTTCTTATTTCCCTTGCCCATTTAGCAATTGGTATATTAAGTTTGGGAGGGGTTAGTTTTTTGAGTTCCTTTTCTATATTGGATATTAGGCCTTTGTATGATATATTACTATGTAATGACCTTCCTTGTTTTGTCATACTTATTCTAATGAAAAGTCAAATTTGTGAGACATCAATATGTCTACTCCTGCCTTTATGTACAGTGCATTTGCATGAAAGATCTTTTTCTATACCTTCACTCAGAGTTAGTTTTTTTTTTGTTTGTTTGTTTTGGGTCCGGTTATGGGCCTGAACTCTGGGCCTGGGCACTGTCCCTCAGCTCTTCAGCTCAAGGCTAGCGCTCTGCCACTTAAGCCATAACGCCACTTCTGGCTTTTTTTTCCTGCTTATATGGTACTGAGGAATTGAACCCGGGCCTCATGCATGCAAGGCAGGTGTTCTACCACTGAGCCACCTTCCCAGCCCTCAGAGTTAGTTTTTAATCTTTGACTGTAAGGTGAATCTCTTGGAGGCAATGAATGGGTTGGTCTTGTTTTTTGATCCAATCTGCTGTTCTTTTTCTTTTGGCTGGGGAATTGAGTCCATTAACATTTAGAATTATTAAAGAGACATATGTCATGTTTCCTGCCATTTTCTTGATTTCCTATATTTTGCTTCTTTCCTTCTTCTGTACTTACCGAAATTCATCCTCTAGTGAGTTTTATCTAATATGTTTCCTTTATTTTGATGATTTTCTTCAGATTTTATACTTCCCTTTAGTATTCTTTGTAATGCTGGTTTAGTATTTATGAATTCCATTAATTTTTCTTTGACATGGAAGGTTTTGGTTTCACTGTCAAATGTAAAGTAAGCTTTTTTGGGTATACCAGTTTGGGTTAAAATTTGCTGATCTTCAGGGCTTGGATTATACCATTCCAGAGTCTCCTTGCCTTGCATTTGGGTGGAGAGATCTGCAATGATTCTGCTTTTCTTTTCATTGTAATATGGCTCCTTCTTTGATTTTTCAGCATTTAAAATCAATTCCTTGGGGCTGGGAATGTGGCTTAGTGGTAAAGTGCTTGCCTAATATGCATGAAGCCCTGAATTCAATTCCTCATTGCCATATAAACAGAAAAAGCCAGAAATAGCACTATGGTAGAGTATTAGCTTTGAGCAAAAGAAGCTCAGGGACAGTGCCTGGGCCCTGAGTTCAAGCCCCAGGATGGCAAGAAATAAAATCAATTTCTTGCTTTTCATGTCCAGTGTTTTTACTATGGTGTGTGTAGGAGTGTTCCTTTTTGGTTCCTGTCTATGGGGAGTTTAGTATGTTTCTGGATGTTGCAGTCTCACGTTGCTGGTCTGTGTTACTGTCTGCTCTGGCCGGGTCCGCCACTGTGGAACCTTTCTGTGTCTGGATGCTGAAGTCTTGCTGGTTGGCTTATGGTTGTATTTTAAAATGTCAGATGATTAGTCTTGCTGGTAGGACATTGCTTTTTAAATTTTTTTCTGATATACAATATCTTTCTCCTTGCTTATTAGCATCTTCCTACTTTTATTTCTATCTCTACTCGACTTAATTTTTTCCCCAGTACCTTTTAACCATCGTTTCCTATTATTTCTCAATAGCATCTGTCCTGTGGACAATTTCTATTGTCTCTCTCATTGCTTACCTTGCTTCTGAACAATATCGAAGGAATTATGCAACCTCAAAGATTATTATTTTAAATTTCATTTTTCATAGATCTCCCACCAACTTATAGAGGAGTGTGTGTGTGTGTGTGTGTGTCTATGTGTCTGTGTCTGTGTCTGTTAATACGGAGGCTTGAACTCAGAGACTTGTGATCTAGCTTGGACATTTTGCTCAAGCCTAAACTTCTAGCCTTTTGTTGGTCATTGTAAATTAGTCTCACGGACTTTTTGGCCCAGGTCTGCTTTGAACAACAATCCTCAGATTTTAGACCCCTTAGTAGGAAGATTACAAGAATGAGCTACTGCAGCCCAGATATGTTCTAGCCCAATCTATTTTATCTGTGACTCTGCTCATTATTTCCTCCTGTTACAATAGTATAGATATTCTTAGCACCTTTGAGGCAGTCTCTTACACATGTACTTTTGGAATACATTCCTTTCACCTTTTTCAGGGAATTTTTTGTTGTTGTTGTTGGTCATGGGACTTGAACGTGGGGCCTGGGTGCTGTCTCTGAGTAGTTTTGCTCAAGGCTAGTGCTCTACTACTTTGAGTCATAGTACCACTTCTGAGTTTCTGGTGGTTAATTGGAGGTAAGAACTTCACAGACTTTCCTGCCCGGATTGACTTTGAACCATGATCCGAAAATCCCAGTCTCGTGAGTAGCAAGGATTGCAGGTGTGAGGAACCAGCACCCTGCTAGGGAAATTTTTTTATTTATCATTTCTTTCTGTTCTCTTTCATTTTTTAGTGATCCCATATTTTTCTAATTTATCTCCAAAAAGCATTTTACTTGTTTAATTCCTATTATCTTGCTTTGTCATCTTTTATAAACTCATGTCTAAAGTAACTCTTTTCCAGAAACCTAGGTTTACAGTGATCAATGAATATTGTTTCTTCTTCACTTACCATTGTCTCAAAACCATTTCTGCCTCTTGGCACTGAAAATTTCCTCAATTAAGTCTAGAAATTGTGTGTGTGTGTGTGTGTGTGTGTGTGTGTGTGTGTCTGTTGGTCTGTCTGTGTGTCCTGATGCTTGAACTCAGGGTCTGGGTGCTGTTCTTGAGTTTCTTTTGTTCAAAGCTAGCACTCTACCACTTGAGCCGGAGCTCCATTTCTGGCTTTTTGTTTTGTTTTGTTTTGGATTTGGGTAGTTTATTGAAAAGTCTCTCATACTGTATTGCTCAGGCTGGCTTCCAGCTGTGATCCTCAGGTCTCAGTCTCCTTAGTAGGATTTTAGGTGTGTGCCACCAGCACCAGTTAATAATATACATAAAGTAAAATATCCTTTTTTTTCCTTTTGCTGAGCACTAATCATTTTGAGATTTTTCCAGGATCTTGAATACATCAGCAGTTTTGCATGTTTTATGACCAAGTTGGTTGACATTTGTTGTGTTTTCTTTGTCTTTTTTTTGTTGCTCTAATAAGGTTATTGTGAAAATTTGTGTTTTTGGTGTATGTATTTTTTTCATTTTAATTAAGCAAATACCTAGGAGTAGAATAGTTGGATTGCATGATAAGTATATATTTAATTTTTCAGAAGTGCTAACCTATTTTTTAAAGTAGTTAATTTTGTGTTTCTAGCTGCCATATATGAAAGATTTTGTTCCTTGCCCTTGCTAACACTTGATATTGTTAATCTTTAATTTTACTCCTTTTTCTGAGTGTGTAGTGTTAGCTTAATTGTTATTTCTTTGATAACTAATGGTATTGAGTGTCTTTTCATATGTGTATAAAGCATTTGTTGTGTATCTTTGGTTACCTGATGCTCAGGCCTTTTTTAAAGTTTTTTAAGTTTTTCTATCTCCTTGTTTTCAGTGTATATGTCCTTAGATATGCCTCAAGTTTCTTGCCTCCTCCTTTGTTTCCCCTTCCCATCCCTTCCCCTCTCCATCCCCCCATCCCACACCCCCCTACTGTCTTAGTGTTTTGATTACTTGGTATGTCTTTTACATGGTTTTCTTTGTCTTCACTGTGAAGTCTTTTCACTAGAGAATGCTAATTTAATATGATAGTAATTTAAATGATAGTAATTTAATGATTATAAAGATAGGAAGATAAATAAAAAGGAACTAGTAAGAAACATCTTACATTATATTTCTCACCACATTTTAATGTTTTGCGGCTTCATTTTACATCTCTAATATTACCTGTCTACATTATCTATTCTTAGTATTATAATTGTTATACTTTTTGTTTTAACTTTAATCCTCATACTAAAGATCTAAAAGCATACTCACAGTTTTTGTAGTGTATTTACTATGATAGAGCATTATAAATTTATACAGTTAATGTTACCAGTTAGTTTAATATCTTTGATATTCACTTATTAGCATCTTTTTCAGTTTAAAGACCCCCTTTGCTATTTCTTGGTGATAAATTCTTTCAGCTTTGTATGTTGGAAGAATGTCTTTATTTTTTCTTCATTTCCTGAAAAGAACATTATTGGTTGGTCTCTGTATCTATGTAACTATATATCTATCTGTTTGTATGTATGATGTTATGATGTATCTAGTCTGTGTGTGTGTATTGTGTGCGTGCGTGCATGTGTGTGCGTGTGTATGTGAAACTGGTGCTTTCAACCCCAGGGGGAAATTGAGAATATATTCATTTTTTATGGTTTTGTTGGAAACATGATGACCAAGGCTTGGGTGGAGACCATTAATTTTATACTTTTTAAAAAATATTGTTTGGCCCCACCCCTCCCCCCCTAGGGTTTGAAATCAGGGCCTCAAGCTCACTCAACTTGGCTTGCTCAGCTGACATTCTGCCACTTGATGTATGCCTCTAGCTTGACTTTTTATTGGTTATTTTTGGAGATGATGTCTCTCCACTGTGCTGTCTATAGTGGGTTCACACTTCAAGCCTATGAATTTTGGTCTCCTGGGTAGTTAGGAGTACAGAAATGAACCATCAGCCTTTGGCTTATTTTATTTTTGAACCATATGATTATATTGCCTACTAGAAATAGATAAAAAAATAAAAGATCTTAAGGAAAATATTTTTCTTCTTTTTCTTATCAGCAAACTAAAAAAGCTGAGTGAAGACAGTTTGACTAAGCAGCCTGAAGAAGTTTTTGATGTATTAGAGAAGCTTGGAGAAGGGTAAGTACAAAAAATATTAAATTAGCCTTTATATAGTGACAGACTATCTAAAGTAATTTTTCAACTCAAGTATGTTTACTAGAATTGAATACTTATACCAGTTGAACTTGGCCCATTAATCTGAAGTTTTAAAGATTAGATAGATGATTCTACATGTGGTAATTTTGTCTTCCAAAGAAGTAGACTATATATGTTGTGTGTGTGTGTGTGTGTGTGTGTGTGTGTGTGTGCGCGTGTGCGCGTGCGCTTCTAAATAGTTTTCAGGAAGTTTGTTTGTCTTGTGTTCTCATTAGTAAGCTTGAATGATTTTGACTTTGTTAGGCAAATAACATTGGACCACTCTTTAGTATCTTAAGCCCATTTTATTTAGGAAAAGGTGAGTAGTAGATGTGAATTGAGCTTGAAATCTTATCTCTTTCTTTTATTTACCTGTGTGGTCTTTTTCTTGAGAAAATAGTGAAAGGAATATTTGGAGAGACCTTGGAATTGTAACTCCAGAAAAACTATTTGGCTAGAGATTCCCTTAATCTCTACCTTTGGGGTTAGAGTAGGGGGTTTCAGCTGTTTTTAAGTACTATGAACAGAAGTGGGACTTGATATTCTGGCTCTTTTTAATCTATCTTTCATACCGCTAATTTCTTTTTATATCTTCTTAATGCTGCATTTGAGTTGACAAAACGTAAGTCTCTTTCATTCCTAAGAAAACTCAACTTGTTTTGTATTAACTTTTCATGACTTTATTTATAATTGAAGCACTAAAACGAATTCACTAACATTTGTTTACTTTTATTTTTATCATTTTAAGAGTGATTTAATCTAGAAAACACTGCACAAACAGTTCGGTACCCTCTGTCTAATAGTTATGGCATTAGATAAGAAAGGATAACATCTTTTTCTGTCTGTTTTTAGGTCTTATGGAAGTGTATTTAAAGCAATCCATAAAGAATCTGGCCAAGTTGTTGCAATTAAACAAGTGCCTGTTGAGTCAGATCTTCAGGAAATAATCAAAGAAATTTCTATAATGCAGCAATGTGACAGGTAGGAGATTTAATTTTTCTTCATTTGGATGAATTTTTATTAATAATATATAATAAAATGCATTAGTTTGTCATTCCTTTAGTTCTGGTTTTTTTTTTTTTGGGTCCGGTCCTGGGGCCTGAACTCTGGGCCTGGGCACTGTCCCTCAACTCTTCAGCTCAAGGCTAGAGCTCTACCACTTGACCTACAGTGCTGCTTCCGGCTTTTTTTTTTTCTTCTGCTTATGTGGTGCTGAGGAGTCGAACCCAGGGCCTCATGCATGCAAGGCAAGTGATCTACCACTGAGCCACCTTCCCAGCCCCTAGTTTTTCTTTTTTTTGTTTGGATTGAAAGTCTGATCCTTTGAGGAAAGCAAAGACAGCTTTGTAGTATGTCTTTTGGATTTATTGCTCTTTGTTTCTAAAGGAGAAAGTGACATTGTAGCATATAGGAATATAGAGTGAAGAAAATACTCAAAATATTCCTATTTTTAGGACAAATTTATATGTGAGAATAAGAATGCAGGGCCTCCCAGATGCCCCTCAGTAGATGAATGGATCAAGAAAATGTGATACACACACAACACACACACACACACACACAAAGAAAATGTGATACATACACACACACACACACACACGAACACACACGAACACACATGAACTCTATGCCTACATCAGAAAGAATGACACTGCCCCATTTGTTAGGAAATGGAAAGACTTGGAAAAATTATATTACGTGAAGTAATCCAGACCCGAAGAAACATAGGTTCCATGGTTTCCCTTATTTGCAATAACTAGTATATGTCTAGGGCAAGCAGAAAAGGTCAAAAGCTATGGACATATGACCATATAAGGTGATACTAAACGAAATGAACTGCAAGATAGGGACACAAGAGGTTTATCTTTCTTGCTGTTGTTTTTAATGTGCTCATAATGTACTATGTGATTTTTTTGTTTCTTTTGTATGTTCTTCCCCCATGTTATAGTCTCTGTTTTCACTGTATTTGATTCCGGTGCTCTGCATCTTGTATATACATTTTTCTAATTTGGGGAGGGGAATGGAAATAACAACATGCTGAAAACAAGGATACAGGTTGTCCCATTGTGACAATGAGATGTATAAGACACTATGTTGAAAATGAACTTTACAACTTTGGAGGTGATGAGGTGGGGTGAGGGGAGGGAGGAGTTGGGGAGGTGGGGAGGGAAGGGATGGTAGGGGAAAAACAAAGGAAGGGGCAGCAGTGTTCAATAGGAAATGTACTCATTACCTTACTCAAGTAACTGTAACCCTTCTGTATAGTATCTTTACAATAAAAAATATATGTGTGTGTGTATATTTATATGTGTGTGTATGTGTTTGTATATATAATTATTTTTCACCAGAATATTCTGAGACCAAAATGAAAGAAAAAAAAACCCTCTATTTTTTGGACTATTGACATGTTGTATTGAGTATTAATATTTGACTGAAAGCAAAATTCGTTTGATTCAATTTTAAAATGTTTTAGTTAAAGGAAAATATTTTCATTTGTTTCTTATGTTAAATAGTAAGTTCTTGCCAAAACGAAGTATTATTTTCCTTGGGAATCACTCAGAACATTTGGGCCTCCTTTGGTTTGTAATCCTGTTAAATGTCATCCATGAAATAAAGCCTAATTATACACAGTTGGTGAACTCTAGATATAGACAGTTCAATATACAATAGAAGTTTAGTCATTAAGTTTACTTATTCAAACATTATGAAATGTTGCGAACACTTTGTATTGAGATTAAGAAAAAATTTTCTTGGCAATTAACTAAATTTAATTGTCTATATTTTTCTTTAGCCCTTATGTTGTAAAGTACTATGGCAGTTATTTTAAGAACACAGACCTTTGGATTGTTATGGAGTACTGTGGAGCTGGCTCTGTCTCAGACATAATTAGATTACGAAACAAGACAGTAAGTATTTTAAAATTGTTTTACTAATCTGATTTCTAAAGATTCTTACTTTAGAATCTAACTAGGTAGTATTTTGTTACAAAGAAAATATTGATGTGAAAAAAGAAAATTATTTAAGCACTGTAAGGGGATCTAGCAGGAGGTGTGAGAACCAGACACATTTTTCTGCAGCAGATGTAATTATGATTGTTTCCTAGGATAACTTTTGGTAAGTCACTGTGGTACTACCATGACATTCCTCTTCTTTATTTGGAATCATTGTATGTGTGTGTTTTATTAATATGAGTTCAATAAATTATGACATAAAGTTTGTAACATTCAAGGTATGTACTTACCTTAAATTTTCTGTATTTTAATTTATGACTGGCAAATAGTTGAAGGTGTGTGAAAGTGATAACACTAGATTATTTGCATTCATTTTTATTCTTGTGATTTTAGTAAAATATATTAATTAAAGGTTTTGTAATTATGTTTTTTATCCTTAGAGGAACTGTTAACAAAATTGTTTACCCCCGTAATGTATCTAGTTTATCACACGTTTTCTAAGGACTAAAGGGACTTTTTTATTTGTGAGGGGCTAAGATTAATGAGTAAAGTAATTTGTGAATCTGTAGAACAATAATTTAATTACCTAAGATAATTGCACTGCTTCTGTAAAACCCATCCAGAAAAAATATTTAACTACTTGAGTAAATTTGTGGTTAACCAAAATTATTTAAAAGTTTGATTGGGGAAATTCATTGTAAGTTTATTCTTCTAACTTTTTTTTCTGTTAGAGAAAATAAATGTAACTCTCGTAAGAGGAAGGGAGGCAAGTTAAAATAATTCCTGTTTTGACAGGATGGATGAAGTGACCTGTGACACGTTAATTGCCTATTTTAGAAATTCTGTGCTTAACTAGCATTTATGTAAATCAAGTGGCACTTGCTTGGCAGAACAATACTTTTATTGAAAATAATTTATACTCCAGTTAGAAGTGTTTTAAAATTATTTCAAGGCTAAATTCAGCATGTATGTTATTTAAAGTTAGTGATCAAGTAAGAATATAAACTCAATATACATGAGGTAGAAAAAATTTTTTAAAATATCTGTTTTCATAGATTTTTAATGCTACTTTGAGTACCTAGGGATTTGATCCAAGAAATTTATTTCTTGTTGCCAATAATTACAATTGTGAATATATATTACATTATATTATATGTATATCTATACATATATTTAAGATATTGAGGTGTGAACTCACACCCTGGTATTTGCTAATCAGGTGTTCTACTACCTTTAGTCACATCTTCACCACTGGTTCTTAAATTTTACTCAGAAATTCCATTGACCAATTCCAACAGAAAGATTTTTAGCTACTCATATTCCTTAGAAGACAAAATCTACTGAGTGTGTTGAGAAGTCTACATTTGAAACTATCTACTTGTTTTCACAGAGCAGTTATCCTTGTTCTGGGGTAGCAGGAGAAGAATCTCATTTCCATATATGAAAATGATCCAGAGTAGCAAAAGAGGTTGATCAAGAGCTATGTGTTTAACCTTGATTACAACTCCTGTAAGATCTCAAGAATATCAGTGACTTTCTTTTCCAGCCTCAGGGGTATATTGACATTTATTTATTATAGAGACTGTCATTATGTTGAGGTTGATGATATAAGGATGTGGTTCATTATCTCTTTTATCTATGTTTATTTATTTAGTTATTTTGCTGGTCCTGGGGCTTGAACTCTGGGCCTGGGCTCAGGCTCTGGCCCTGCGCTTCTTTTTCTTAATGCTAGCTAGCCTCTACTACTTTGAGCCATAGCACCACTTCTGGATTTTTCTGAGTAATATATTCAATAAGAGTCTCAGGGACTTTCCTGCCCTGGCTGGCTTTGAACTTCAATCCCCGGATCTTAGCTTTCTGAATAGTTAGGATTACAGGCCTGAGCCATCAGTGCCTCGCTCATTATCCCTTTTATTTATTTATTTTTATTATTATTACTTTTTTGGGTCTGGTCGTGGGGCCTATACTCTGGGCCTGGGCACTGT